ATTCTAGGAGGGGGAGGGAGGAGGAGAGGGGAGGGGGAAAAAGGGGAGATGAGGGGAGATGAGGGGAGAGAGAGAGAGAGACAGAGAGACAGAGAGGGAGGGAGGGAGAGCGATGCGTACACGATCGCCGGCAGGGTTGTGCTCGACGGGAATAGCCCAGAACTTGAAGCCGTGGCCAAGGCAAAGACGGTGTTGTAGGTGAGCTCATAGCACATGTATCCAGAGAGGACAACCATGACAGCATTGTAGACCAGACGGATGTAGTAGAGGTCAAAGGCCTGGCGGGAGGCCATGAGCCACGGACCGACCACCACCATGACAATGTACGCCAGCACAACGGTGAGGTACTGCCACGGGTCCATGAGGAACCACTTTGACGTCCGCGAGTCGAGCTCCCAGCCCCACGACGCAGGGGGCTCCAGAGGGGGGAGCGAGGCGTAGAACGACGTCACTGCAGAGAGGGCCATACTGAGGGTGGGAGGGGAGTCAAGTGTGGTCGGTTGGTGGGGTAAGGGGGGCAGAGAGGAGGGGGGAGGGGGGGGGAGGGGAGGTGTGGTGAAAACGTGGGATGGAGAGCGGAGGAGAGTCATTGGCGGCCGACGGGGGAGGGGGGGGGGGGGGGGGAATAGGACCATGCGGGGCTGGGCGTTCAAACGATCCGAAGGGAGAGATCAAGGGCATGGGCTAGGCGGCAACGAGGGCTGCAAGCTTGGTGAGGAGGATGTCAAAGACAAGGTCGTGCTGGACGAGCTCGAGGCGGACAAAGGCATCCGAGGCGCCAAACGAAGGCCCGGCCCAGCCCTGGATGCCGGCAGCGAGAAAGACGTCGTAGCACGAAGTCGAGCCGTCGAGGCACTCGATCCAGAGGTAGAACTGGTCCGGGACCGAGCGGATGGCAAAACGGGTGGAGGAGGCAAAGATAGGCAGGACCTTGTTCCAGCGGGCAGTAAATTCGGTGCGAATGGCGGAGAAGAAGCCGCCGCGGGTGGCGGTGATGGCGCGCAGGATGGCCAGCGCGCGGTAGCGCGAGTCGACCGACGTCGTGATCTCGGCCTTGGAGATGAAGCTCTCCATGGCGGCGGCGACCGCGGGGTCCTTGACCAGCGCCCACCCGATGCGCGAGCCTGCGTGCCCGGAGAGCTTGGAGAGCGAGAAGAGCATGATGTCTGCCGAGTAGTTGTGGATCTTGTTGGTCAGAGACGGCCAGGCGTAGACCATGTCGTGGACGTGCGCCACCTGGCTCCCCGAGTACACCGCCGACCGCAGCTCGCCGGTTGGATTGTTCGGGAGGGTCACAAACTCGACAATGCACTGTCGCTGTGGATCGAGCGAGCTCGATGCCGAGAACGACGTGTTCGCCGCGCCCACAGACGCCCAGTTGGCGTACCCGTCGTAGTACGGCGGCTGGGCGTAGATGGTTGTCTGCTCGCACGGCGCGGCCTCGGCCAGCGCCACGCTTGACGCCGCGATAAGGAGCGTGCATCCCGAGCCAACCACCACCGACATGCCCTCGGTATTCACGTTGCCTGCCGATGCGTGGACGTCCAGGATCGCCTCGCGCAGCGCAGCGCCTAGGCCCGTCGACGCCGGCGTCAGCACGCTCTCAAACTGGTACCCGGTGCGGTACCAGGCCGGCAGGGCAACCTCGGCGGCGACAGGCGGGCCATCGTACTGCGCCCAGTACGACTGGTACATCAGCGGCGAGCCACCCACCGCATTGACCACGCATCCGCCAGCATCGACCTTAGAGCAGTTAGCGCCCGAGAAGCAGTCGAAGCACTCGCACACGCCCACGTCGGCGTACAGCACGCCCTGGCCCGAACACTCGGGCGAGGGCCACGTCGTCGGCCCACACTCCACCACACTCGCCAGTGCCATCATCACCATCACCGTCGCTGCAACTGCTGTCACTTCCGGCATCCTTGATCGCGAGACGGGTGGCTCCCCCTCCCGTCCCCCTTGCCCCATTTTGGTCGGTCACATGCCGCACGGCCGCCGTCTCCGGACGCGGCAATGCCCGATACAGGGCTCATCAATGGTACAAGCACGATTGAGACGGATGCTGGACGGTGGGTCTCCTGATGAGGCCGAGGTATCGGCATGACTTGGCCGGGGGCCTCATCACCGCGATCTCGATCCCTGCGCCACCTGGTGCGATGCCAGTGCATGCACCCTGGTGCAACCAACCGATAGTCCTTCCCCTGACGAGATCGGTGCCGCGTGGGTGTCTGCTGGGCATCCACCTGGCTGATGTCTGTTTGGTATCTGAAGCAGGCGCTCAGCCCAGTCAAGTCCAATGCAGTCCAGTCCGGGCAAGCCGCCCACCTTTGGTTCTTGGCATGTTTTCCGCCGCCACCTCCCCACCGCCACCGCCGCCACCGCCGCCACCACCGCCATACCCTCATACTCGCCCACCCACCCCACCGCACTCCACGTACTCCCTCCACACACTCTCTTCCACACCCACACCTCCCTTCCACCCGTCCCTCCCTCCCTCCTCGTCCGCCCCTCCCTCCGTCCCCGCCGCCTTCTGCGCCTGTCGGCCAAAGCTTCCATCGCTCCGCCTGCACACTGCAGCATCATGGCCTCGTTGGTGACTCGGTACTCGGTCATCATCACGTTCACGGGATCAACGGTCAAGGAAGGGCGCAAGGTGATGTTGCGTCGTGGGGACATCGTGTATGCTGCGTCGCCTCCACGAACAACGTGTTACGATGGGTCAACCTTTGTCTTTGTCGCCAAGCGCCAGGATCAGGTGAGCCGCCTCACTGCCAGCGACATGATCCTTGTGCCAGAGTCCAGGCTTATGCGGCTAACGTCTTTCTCTAGCTCACCGTCGTCGCACTCGGCCTCGCCGCTGTCCTCATCGCGCTCGCATGCACGGTCTAATGATCGCTACGGGTCGAGCTGTCGGCACTGTGGCCACGCCTCGCACTCGCGTTCGTCGCTCGCCTCCCACGAGCTATACTGCACCAAAGCGCGGGTAACCAAGACATACAAATGCCCCATTTGCGAGCAGGTCTTTTACACTGAAGGCTCCGTCTCTATCCACATCGATACCTTCCACCGGTCGAGCTCAACCCCTACGCGCGCGCCAGCGACAGAGCCCGTGGCGAGCTCGATCGATCACACCTGCCCGATTTGCAACAAGACGTTCTTCTTGGCGTTCACCCTCAACAACCATCTTGACAACGAGCATGCGCCGTCGCCGCCGTCGCCACGTGAGCCTGAGCCTGAGCCTGAGCCCAAGCCTCAGCTTGGGCCGCCTGGGCTTGGAACTGCGCCCGAGAGCCGAACCGATGAGCCGACCCCGACTCGCGAACCGCCACCTGCTCAGCCGCGGCTGCAGTCGCAGTCGCCACCGCAGCCGGACCGTCCCCCCTCCTTTCGCGACGATGAGCTTCAGAGAGCCCGCGCCGCCGGCTCCAAAATCATGCGCGCTTCCGAGAGCTACCTCGACCCACAGATGTCTGAGCTGCCGCTGGTCAAGGGCGAGACCGTGATTGTGCCGCGGATCTCAGCCTGTCGTCCGGGCTGGCTCTGGGTCCGCAACGCTGCCAACAGGGCTGGCTACGTGCCGGCCATGTTTGTGGATGAAGTTGCCCCAGAGCCGGACAGTAGTGGTGGCGCTAGCTCGTCGAGCATTCGCCCACGGTGCCGCTTTTGCTACCGGGTGTACTCGTCGGAGGCTCAGCTCGCGTCGCACGAGCAGCACTACCATCCTCATCGGCTCGCGCACGAGCAGAAAACAATGCAAACGTCGATGCAGACTGGAGCGCCGACGCTTGCGCCTGCCGAGTTTGCGCACGAGCTGTACGGTCCGCGCCCAGCGGCGGCGCTGGCAGCCGAGGCCTGCGACGGTGACGGCATCGGTGACGACGGATCGGTGACAGCGCCGCTCCCGCCGCCGATCCTTCTCCCTGCCGCCGCCGCTGTTGACCGCGTCGCGCTGGGGATGTGGCGCGGCATCCAGGGCTCAAACAACTCGTGCTACCTCGACGCCACGCTCTTCTCGCTCTTTGTCACCGTCCAGGACTTTGATGTCATGCTGGACGAGTCTGAGCCGATCAGGCTGCGCCGCGAGCTGGCAGACTCGCCCGACCACATCACATATGTCCCGCATCTGCGCTCGACGCTCCGCAACCTGGTTGTACGCGATCTACGGGGCCGCCTCTTTGTCGACGCTTCGGTCATGCTCCGCTTCCGGCTCTTCCTCAACAAGGTGTGGGATGCCGAGAACGACCCGACGGTCGGTGCATGCGAGGAGGAGGACGTTGTCGACTTTATCACAGTCCTCTTCAACCTCCTCCTTCCCGACGACAAGCTCGCGCCCGGCTACGTCTCGTCCGAAGCGGTCGACGGCACCATCCTTCGCGCCTTTGTCCACACTCTTGCCCCGATCTTCGACCCCGAGTCGGGCGCACTGGAGACCTTTATCGGCCGTGGGCCGTCGGTCCAGGTCCTCCTCGACGCACACCTCGCGACTTACGGCATGGTCTTTGTCGGCGCGCCGAAGTTCCTTATTCTGCAGATGCCGCGCGAGTACCACTCGGCCATTTACGATTTTATCTACCCTTGCGGTGAGGTCACCGTCCCGGTCCGTCACCCTGAGACCGGCGACGACAGCCTTGCCCGGCTCGACCTCCACGCCATCATCTGCATCGACTCATCGCACTTTGTTGCCTACAACCGCATCCCGGTCGTCGACGCCGACGGCTCGCTCGCCCACATCTGGGTCCGCTTCGACTCAATGGGCGACGCATCGGCCGACCACGGCTCGGTCCCGGTTCTGCACCGCGCCAACAACCTCGCCCGCGCCCTCGCCGAGCCTGTCTCTCTTGCTACCCTTGTCGACTCGGAGCTCGCTGCCCATCGCGGGCCAAAGGCCTACCGCTACACCGACACTCGGGTCTCTGTCGATACCAAGCGCGTCCTTGCTGACGGCTACGTCTGCATTTACACCCTCGCCCACCCACTCTCCCCCACCGCAGACTGCGCGGCTAGTGCCAGTGTCGATGTCTCCGTTCAATGAAAATCACAGAACTCTCACACGCTCGTCGTCGTCACTGCCCGGTCATCCGGGACCGTCCCTACCACCGGCAGGCCACCATTCCGAGAATGCCCACGACAGTAAAACCGTCCGCACCCACACCCACACCCACACCCACACCCACACCCACACCCACCTTACCCACACCTTTCTCCACCCTTCACACTTCATTCTTGTTCCTTGCTTGCTATGGTGCGTGCGCCCGTGCTTGTGGTGGTCCTGACTGCTCTCGCTGTGGTGACCCTCTGCAGCCGGCAGGCGTTGGGCGCCTCGTGCGGCAACGCGGTGGTGGAGAGTGGCGAAGAGTGCGACGATGGCAACAATGATTCGTATGATGGATGCTCGGCCGTGTGTGTCCGTGAGTACTGTGGCGATGGCATTCTCAACGCATACAACGTCAGCAACCTGTCTGGCAATCGGCTGATCTTCAGTGATGACTTTGAGTCCGGCACCATTTCCGCGGCTTGGCAGGCCACAGGCGTAGCCATCATTGGCAACGTCGGCACGTGCGCCGCCCGCGGATCGTGGGCGGCCCGCTTCCAAGGCGACTCGGTTCGGACGCTGCAACTGGTTGGAACGTTGGAGAAGGTGACTCGCGTCAGCTTTGACGTCTTTATGACCTCGTCGTCCGGCAGTTGCGAGAACCCGGACAACGGCGAGGATCTGACCCTCGAGTACAAGGTAGCGTCCGGCACGACGTGGACTATACTTGCCGCTGTGCCGACGACCCACTCGACGTGGTCTTCGCACTCGATTGACATCCCTGCCGATGTGCAGGGCAAGATCATCCATCTGCGGTTCAACCAGGCCTCCTCGTCTGGCTCCAGCTTTGACCACATGGTTCTGGACGACGTCGCCATCTACGGCGGCCCGGCCGAGCCGGAAGAGTGCGACGACGGGACGCCGGACGCAACTAGCGTCGACGGCTGCGTCGAGTGCCGCATCACGCCATACTGCGGTGACGGCGTGGTGAACGGCAACGTCTCGACCGCCACTTACGAGTGGACATTTGCCACCCACGGCCTCGGCCCCGAGTGGACGCTGGGAACCGGAGCGCGAATCTCCAGTACGTGTGCTCAAGAGTCTATCACGTTTGACGGCACGAGCGATCGCACGGCCACCCTAACCATCGACACCCTGACCACCCGAATTGGGGGCATCGAGGTGACTTACGAGTACGGGTCCGGAGTCGGGAGCTGCGAGAAAGTCGACTCGGGAGAGGATCTTCATGCCACATTCAAGATCCGCGGCGCTTCCGTCGAGCACACCGAGATCCTGCCGCGCCACAGTGGCTCACTTGGCACACACCAGCTCGCCATTCCTGCCAGCATGCAGAACCGGAAGCCGACCGACGCGCCGTTTGAGCTCATTTTCTCTCAGCCGGTGCACTCGGGTTCAAGCTATGACGTTTCGGCGCTGGTTGGCGTCAACATTGTGACGTCTTTGAGCGCCGAGGTGTGCGACGACGGCAATGCGTTCACGAACGACTCGTGCGTGTTGTGCGCTCCAGCCAGGTGTGGCGACGGCTTGGTTTGGATAGGTGTCGAGGCCTGCGACACGGCAGGCGAGAGCGCGAGTTGCAACGTCGACTGCACGGCCCCTGTCTGCGGCGATGGTATCCGCAACGTAGCGGCTGGCGAAGAGTGCGACGACGGAAGCATAGAGTGCATGCCCAACTGTCGGTATGCGTACTGCGGCGACGGCATGGTGACGGGGTCTGAAGCTTGCGACTCGGGCTCACCGCTTGGCTCTACAACCTGTACACCAAACTGCACGGTCCATGGTGGCTGTGGTGACGGAGTGATCAACCCGGGTGCTGGCGAAGAGTGCGACGACGGGAACGCCGTTGATGGCGACGGGTGCTCAGCGAGCTGCACCTGGGAAGAGTGCGGTGACGGGTCGGCGGCGTCGCCCGTCTTTACCTCGCGGGCAGCACACGGCGGCTTTTTCGATAGCTTCTCGACCACTTCCGAGTGGTTTAATCGGTACACCACGCCGCTGAGCAACGCGGTGGTCCAGTCGGGCTGCACGCCGGCGAGCGACCCGTCAACGGCGGTTCTTCTTTCGAGCAACGGCCAGCGCGAGCTGGAGCTCAAGCCTGTTACCGGCTTTGCCGGCATGTCTTTCACAACGTGGACGAGCGGCGTGGCGCGAAGCGCCGAGGCTGCGTCGGACGCGAGATGTGGCGTGGTGGTGAGCAACACGACGAGCCAGCTTCTGCATGTTGCCGCACGGACTGTCGACACGACTACCGGGGCTCTGCTCTCGTCATATGTCGAGGTGGCCGCTGTCTCGCCGCTCCTGTCGAGCGCGACGTCGTTCGCTGAGACTGTGGTCTATGTCACGCCGCAGGCGGTGGGGATGACCGGATACTCGCTCGACGACCGGGCGCGGCGCATCGGCGTCCAGATCAAGCTCTATCGGTCGGCGGACAGTGTCGGCGGCGCGGACCCGACCACCTTTGTGGACGATGTCGAGGTCCGAGCCATGCTGCTGCGCGAGTGTGATGACGGCAACACCAATCCGGCGGATGGGTGCTCGAGCTGCCTTCTCCCGCGGTGCGGTGACTTTGTTGTCAACGGGGTGGAAGAGTGCGACTCGGGCGGAGCGGCCACCGGATACTGCGATGTCGACTGCACGTTTCCAGTCTGTGGCGACGGCCTAGTCAATCCGTACTCGACCGGCGAGGTGTGCGACGATGGCAACACTATCAACACGGACAGCTGCGTTAACTGCCGGCCGGCGTCATGCGGCGACGGATTTGTTCACCAGGGCATCGAGCCGTGCGACGCGTCGGCGCCTAACTCGGCCCCGTGCACTAGCTCATGCACGCTGCCGGTGTGCGGCGACGGCGTGGTGACCTCGCCGGAGGAGTGCGATGACGGCAACGCCATCGACAGCGACGGGTGCAGCAACAGCTGCAGGGCGCCGCGATGTGGTAACGGGCGAGTGGAGAGCTCTTCGCACCAGTTCGACCTCCGGATTCCGCTGTCATCGACAAGCGCGGTAGCGGACGCGATCGGTGTCCAGTTTTACCCCGCTACGCTCCCGTCATGCCTTGTGGGCAGCTCGGCAAAGGCAGGGGAGACAGTGCTGTTCACTGGAACGCCCTCGTCGGGCAAGCGCCGGCTGGTAACGCTCCTACCGCCCGGTACGCAGGAAGTCACATTTGACGTGAGGTATCCAGCCAGCTCTACGCCGTGCGAGACCGTCGACTCTGGTGAGCTGCTCGTGGTCCAGTTGTTCTCGTCTGCACAGATGAGCAGCTCGTCGCAGATTGGCGGGACGGTGACCATTTCGCGGTCGTCTACGTCGTGGAAGTCGGCAGTGGTCTCGCTCACGCAGTTTTCTGGATGGTCGACGGGGACGCCAGCGCCTCTCTTTCTCGTCTTTTTGCAGACCAAGCAATCGTGCTCCAGCTGCGACACAATTGGGCTGTCGAATGTGAGGGCGACCGGAGTGCGGTCCGAGGTGTGCGACGAAGGCGGCGTCCACACCGTGAGCTGTGATGCTGACTGCACGGCGCCGTCGTGCGGCGATGGCATGGTGAATGCGGCGGCAGGCGAAGAGTGTGACACTGCGGTGACGTCGAGCCTGTTCTGCTCGCCGACGTGCAAGAGCATCAACGTGGTGTGTGGCGATGGTGTGGTTGCACCGGGCGAGGACTGCGATACCGGCCGTGTGGCGACATCGCAGTGTGATCCAGACTGCACGTTTGCTGTGTGTGGCGATGGGTATGTCAACTCGGCTGCCGGCGAAGAGTGCGACTCGACAGCGGCATGTTCCTCGACGTGCAGGATCAGCGGCATCAACTCCACATCCAGCTCGTCGACGACGGCCGGGGCGTCATCGCGGAGCTCGTCGGGCTCGAGCAGCTCGACGACTCCAGTGGTGGCTATTGCCGGTGGGCTGGCGGGCACACTGCTGTTGCTGGTGATCATCATGGTGGTGACCAAGCGGCAGCAGATGGCGCGGCGGCGGGGCGTGCATCAGGCGCGGCAGCCGCGGCCGCCGCCTGGGGTGGACGAAGGCATTCCGCTGCCGCCGATGGGTAGTGGCGCCGGTATGCCGCCACCGCCGCCGTTTACGCCTGCCGGCGTCATGCCGCCTGTGCCCGGCAGCTCGCCGCTCCCGCCGTCGTGTCCGGCAGCTTACTTTGGCCCGCCAGGCTCGGCATTTAACACGGCGATCATGCCGCCATCGTACGAAGCGGTGGTGAGTAGCCCGACAGTGCCACCGCCGACGTACGGAGGTAGATGAGATATTGAACGCTGTACTAACGCAGTTTGATGACGATGGTGTGAAAAGGGAGGAAGGCAAGGCCCCACAGGGCTTGCGCTCAGGCTCGTTGTCGCCACCGCCGCACGAATGAGTGCGGATGAGGAGGCGTCAAGTCATGGCATTCAACCATCGGAAGATTGCGCGGAACAGCGGCAGGGCACGGAGCGGCGCGGCGACCGTGCGCACACAGGGCCAACAGGCAAACTCAGTGCGGCGCTCGACAGGAGTCGAGGAAGGCTTTGAGCTTGGTAACCGAGTACATATATGGCCCGATTCCAGTGCGGAAGACAACGGTGAGGACGCCACTGACGCGGGCGATGGCATAGAGGCGCTCGGGGCGGGCCTCAAAGGCGGCCTCGGCCTCGTTCTCGATGGGATCGACGAGGATGGCAGCCGGATCGAGGGAGGCGGTGGCAACAAAGTCGTTGGCAACAGCAAGCCGGGCTGCGGTCGATTTGGGCTGCGGGAAGCAGACGTCATCGTCGGTGTTGACCTCGATGGCCCAGTCGTCCTCGGCGTGGGCCTCGCGGATGTAGACGTTGAACAGCGGCGTCTCCGCCGCAGCAGCCAGCTCGGTGACCGAGCGGATGTTGCGGCGGAAGGGTGGTCAGGTCCACGAGCCAAAGTTGAGGATGACAACGCCTGTGGCGTGCGAGCTGTCCAGCGCCGGGATGATGATGTCGGCACCGAGGGCGGCGGGCGAGCCATCGAGACGCAGGAGCGACAGGTCGGGCATGGGCGAGCCCTCGACGAGGACGTTGGAGGCCGGGAAGGCGTCGTGGAGGTACGGCCTGGCCTCACCCTCGGTCTCCAGCAGCATTTTGATGCGGGCGGCGGTCTCGTCCTCGGTCATGTCGCCAAAGCGGACCGGGGGAAGGCCTGGCGTGGCCGAGTCTTCCGTTACAGCAGCCATGGCGGGAGAGACGGGTGGTTGCACCTGGTGCATGGGGGGTGGGGGGGGGGGTGGTTTGGTAAAAATTGATGGGGGACGAGGAGGGGGTTGGGGGGTGTAATTAGGGTGATGGGCAGGCCATGGCTAAGCTCAGGCTCGGGCTCGGGCTCGGGCTCGGGCTCGGACTCAGGCAGAGGCTCAGCTGGAGGATGAGCGGTCGGCAACGAGGCGCTTGAGGACCAGGATCAGCTCCTTGGCCATGCGTGCGACGCGCGAGTCGGACGACTTGCGGAGCTTGTTGAGCGTCTTGCCGACCTTTGTCTTCTTGAGCACGTTAAAGGTGATGTGCTCGCGGGCGAGGGCGCGGATGAGCTCGATCTGGCGATCAGCTGTGGTATCTGCCTTGAGCAGTTCTGTGCGGATGCTCATGACGACCTCGCACACACCGTGCTCGGAGAGGCGTGCGCGGCCGCGCATGGCATCGTCGCCATCGTCGAGACCCTCGCTCTTGACCAGGGCAGCAAAGACGGCAGCGTCAACCACAGTTCGCACCGACGCCTTCTCCTCCTCGGTCAGCTCACGGGTGAGCCTCGCCTCCACTCGCTGGAACACTCCGAGCATGGTCATCTTCCTGTGTGCGTGTGGGTTTGGGGGAGGGGGGAGGGGGGGGGTGAGGGCGGTTGCAACTAAGGCAGTGGACAGGCAGGGGGGAGGGAGGGAGGGGGGAGAGAGAGAGAGGGGAGGGGGGAGGGAGGGGGCGTACCTCCGACGGTCC